CTTAAGTCTAGATTTGGGTTTATTGTTGATGTATGTGACAAACTCCATGATTGATTGATGATTTTACTTAATTGATGGATTTTTCATGAATGGCATGAGTTGGGTTTTCATTTTCATGTATTGAGCTTTTGACCTAGGAGGGAGATAATCCCCTTAGAGCCCCCCTTTTGGCGTCATAGGGTCACTCCTATCGTACATTGTCTGGGTAGTCCCCGAGGGAGTTGATTCGACCGGTCTCCTAGCATTATACGAAACCCTAGGTTGAATAGAGGACTACCCATCCATCGATTCCCCGTTCTGGGTTGTTCCCGAGGGAGTCCATCTCCAAGCGGTAGTGTAGTTGAGTCGATCGAGCTAGGAGGATACCCAAAATCGATCCAAAGAACAGAACTAGGATGATTCAACCCAAGAGAGCTCCCCACCTTGTAAATAGCTAGGTTAGTGGTTAGTCTAGGTTAGTTAGTTTAATTTTATCAATCACTATCCTAGGTTGGCTAGATAACTAACCCTAAACCTGAAGTAGGGTAAGCCAAGCTCCCCGTGGTACGATAAATTCTTATTGTTTGCTTGCCCTATGCTACACCAGGTCGGCGGTTATACTTGGCCGTCGATCGGGATGTTGTAGTTAGAACGAGTCAATCATGCCCCAAAGTCCGGTTAATTCATTGTCTAAATAGCAAAACTCAATGGGCGTATGGTAGGCTATCGTACTCCCCGACGTAGGCTAGCCTTTGCCATATATATAAAGTATACTACTATATCCTCCAGGTATTCCTAGTGTGATACGTTTATCTAGACCATGAATTAAACCGCGTTTGGACTATGATAATATACCCTAACCTCTAATGGATTAACCTCAACCCCAATTCTCTAAACTCAAAATCGAATTTCAATTTAATAAAAATAATAGTTGACCGTTGAGATTGGTCAGAGCTCATCAATACACATCTAACGGGCAAATCACCTTGACTATACTATACTGCTGGCGTATAGTAGTCATTACCATATATATGGTTTTGTCTTTGGTGCACTCACTTTTTTGTGTGCATTCAATGCACTCACATCATAATCGTCATTCTAAGCAGGCGATTCATGTGAAAATATTTTCAACCGTCACTTGTCGTATAACAGAGGATAAAGCACATGAGTTTATACACACAACATTCAAGATTTACTTTAATTTCAATGATTTAGGGTTAGGGTTCAGGGTTACGATTTAGGATTTTGGGTTGAGATTCAAAAATGAAGGTTAAAGGGTTAGGGTAATGGATTGATTAGTTTTGATTCTATGTTATATAATCATATAATACTAGTGCCACCAATTAGAGGGTAGGTAACGACTGGTGCTAGGTGATCTGGCCGTTAGACGCACTTCGATGAGCTCCGACCAACCTTAACGGTTAATTATTGTTTTCTATTAGATTGAATTTTGGGATTAATTTGAGAGAATCGTGGCCTGTATTTTATCTATTAGAGGTTAGGGTATAGTATCATACCCCAAACTCGGTTTAGTTCATGGTCTAGATAATGATATCTTACTAGAAGTACCTGGAGTATACTATACTCCAGGAGTAGACTAGTTTGACCCATATATATATGAGATATATATATCTAGACCATGTATTTAACCGATTTTGGGGCATGATAATGTACTCTAACCTCTAATGGGTAAACACTTGACGTCGATTCTTAAAACCCAAATATGAAGTTTAATTTACGAGAAAACAACAATTGACCATTGAGATCGATTGGGGCTCATCGAAGTACATCTAACAGCCAGATAATCTGAAGCATATTATGCTGCTAGCATATGCAGGGGGCGTACGCTAACCTAGCACATATCCGGGCGTACGCTAACCTAGCTTACGCCCGTTGAGTTTTGCTATTTAGATCATAAATTAACTAGAGTTTGGAGCATGATACTATAACCTAATATCTAATGAGTGATCCCCGGTCCCTAATTTTCTAACCCAAACTGCAAAATTTGTTTAATCTTAAAATGAAAAACAACAATAATTTCAACGAATTAGAATCGTTGATTTTCATTTCAAGAATAAATTAATCTTACACTTTTGGTTAATGAATTGGGGATTGGGGGTTCACACATCAGGCGATAATGTATAATATCATGCCTCAAACTCGAGTCAATTCATTGTCTAAATAGCAAAACTCAACAAAGCGTACACTAGCCTTTGCCTGGGCGTACGATAGCCTTCGCTATGTTTGTGTGTGGCTTCTATCGTACCTTGGCTAAATTTAGGGTACAACATACATTGAGTAAAAAAATACTATTTAGATTTGGATTTTTGGGTATGAAACTATATCCTAACCCTTTATAGGTGAACCCTAGATCTTAGTTATCTAAATCATATTGCGTAAACCCTGAGATTGTACGTGTAATTTGTTGCATATATTTCAACGAATCATGACCATCGAATTTTGTTTCTCATTAAATTGGTCTTAGTTTATGAGATTTATAGAACTACGATATAGATTTTAGTGTTAAAGGGTTCGGAAATAGTACTACATGCCAAAATCTGATCAATTCAAAATCTATATATATATCATTTTTTTCCCGGCGAATCATTTGAGTTTTTGTTTTAGTTGTTTTTGCAGTTTTGGCTTTATGCGGATAGAAGGACCATTACTTCCTCCAGCCCAGGGGACCAGAAGCATTCAATTCCACACGGATCCCGCCCAAATTGAGCCGCTGAAACCGGTTATTGGAAGCTACCGGAGCAGATAATTAATTAAGTTTAATTTTATGAGAGAACGCACCGCAGCATCAATCAGTTTGTGCCACTCGTTCTCCTGCCTGTTCTCATCCATTTATATGGATATCTAGCTGTTAACAAATCAGGCTTAACCAAAATAACGATGAACGAAAAGAAATCAACACACGATATACGTTGTATCCCCGAGATCCGGGACTAGTCCACGGGAGAGTATGGCACTCTCCGAGCTCAGTTCTTATTCACTCAAATCGATGAGACGGCTACAACTTACAAAGAGCATATAAATACCCACGCAACCCTAGCTCCCATGAGCACCCTACACGTCCAAACCAACACAACCCTAGCAGCCATAAAGGTCCAATGACAAGCCCAAACCAAACTATATACATATGTATACAAGGCCCAAACTCAATCCGCTAAAAGCCTCCCCCAAATTGATGCCGCTCGCGAAGCATCAATTTGCTAGAGAGGTACCAGTGACGACTGGAGGTGAAGGCCTTGGTGAACATATCCGCGACCTGATCTTCTGTGGGCAAGTAGTGTAGGACCACAACCTCATCACAAACAAGATCACGAATGTAGTGGATGTGGATCTCAATGTGCTTGGTCCGGTCATGGAGCACAGGGTTCACATCAATCTGGATAGCACTCGTGTTGTCCACAAACAAAAACATAGGCGTCGCACACTGAATGCCAAAATCACTAAGCACGGGGTGCTTGTTTGAGACCATATAATGAGCGATGAAGCCGGCAAACCTGATCAGAAGTACCATAAGCATACCCAGGTGGCCGCTCCATGTAGACGACCTCTTGTAAGTCACCGTGGAGGAAGGCATTTTTTATGTCCAGTTGCAAGAGTGGCCAATGCTGCAGAGACGCCACAGCCAGCAAGGTACGGACCGTCTGCATCTTAGCGACGGGAGCAAACGTTTCTGTGTAGTCAATGCCGAATTCTTGACTGAAGCCTTGAGCCACAACGCGAGCCTTGGGCTGCTCTAAACTGCCATCCGGATTGAATTTCAGATCATAAACCCACTTACTACCAATGACAAGAGTGGGAGGGGGAGGACGATCAACCAAAATCCACGTGCTGTTCGCATGGAGGGCATCAATCTCCGTATCCATGGCTCCGTCCCATAATGGGTTACCTTTGGCCTGCTTGTACCTAGTGGGAATCACAATAGAGTCCACATTAAATGTAACAAAATCACGTAAGTAAGCTGGGGGTTGCCCCAACGTGGACCTGGTGGAACGTCAAGGAGGAGCTTGGGGAAGAGGCGATGAAGTTGGGGAGTCTCGCGGTGAAGAGCCTCCTGCAGATGACGAGGACGAAGAAGGGGTTGGGGACGCAGGGGGTGATGGTGGTGGCGGGGGAAGGTCGGGCAATGTCTCCTCCGCAACAAGAAGCTCTCCCGGATCAAAGCGATCATCAAAGGACAAAGGACACAAAGATGAGGCAAACTGGTGGGACTCGGCGGAAGTTTCAAAAAAAAAGGAAGGTGCTCAAAAAACACGACATTACAGGAGACACGAACTCGATCAAGGATGGGATCAAAACAGATATAGCCCTTGTGAACTGAACTATACCCAAGAAAGGCACAACGGGCAGTCTTGGAAGAGAGCTTATCACGTTCTCGACGGGGTAACAAAACGAAGCAAGTGCAACCGAAGACACGAAGACTATCATAGTCAGGATGAGTGGAAAACAAGGCAAAATAGGGACTCTGATTATCAAGGACAGGGGTGACCTGATAATTAATTAGACGGACCGCAGTGGAGACGGCTTCAGGCCAGAACCGAGGAGGAACAAAGGACTAAAGAAAAAGAGCTTGAGTTATTTCTAAAACATGGCGGTTCTTACGTTCCACTACACCGTTTTGTTGGGATACTCTGGGACACGATTTTTGAAATAACATGCCGAAGGAGCGATATAAATTCATGAGGTCATGAGAGCTAAACGCGCCACCCTCATCGGATCGAACAATCCGAACCTGTTTTCCAAACTGAGTTTTTATCATGGCGATAAACTCAGTAGCAACAGACAAAAGATCGGACTTCAAACGTAGGAAGTATACCCAAACAAAACGATTAGTGTGATCAACGAACATCGCAAAATAACGGTAGCCATGTCGATAAATTACAGGAGAGGGGCCCCAGAGATCAGTATGGACAATATGAAACGTGTTTTTTATAATGGTAGTACTAGGCGGGAATGATTTTCGAGTAGACTTAGCTTCGACACAGCTAGTACACAGAAGTTTGGAGGAGGTATCAATCATCTTATTATCACCAAATAAACCAAGTTTGATCATGGATACAAGCCGACTCAAATGTGGGTGACCAAGACAGGAATGCCAAAGATGCAAGTTCTGATCAGCTAGACTCGAAAAAACCGAACACGAAAAGACAGAATGCGAGGGAAACAAAGGGGAAGACTGACTACTTGACGATTGATCCGAGAGCTCCTCCAACTGAAAAATGCGCCCATGTCTACTCCCGTGCCCGACCTGCCTCCCCGTCTTCGCTTCCTGCACAACACATCCAGAAGATCCAAACACAGTACGGTACCCTTGTTCAGCAAGTTGACCAACAAAAACAAGATTTGGAAACAATTTGGGCACAAATAAAGTGTTCGAGATTTTAAGAGCCGGCTGTGCAACCCTTCCAATCCCACTAACATCCAATCTCTCACCATTTGCAACCTGCAGATTTACATTCTGAACGGGCACAATATCTCGCAAAGCATGGGAATCACTGGTCATGTGATTAAAACAGACCGAATCCAGGAGCCGCGGTTTGAGTTTACCTGACGTTTGGAGAGACGCAAAGGCAGAACTTAGAGCTGTCGGGAGCGAGCGTTGGAGAGCAGCTTGGACCAGCCCTTCAACCGCCTCGGTAGTGAGCCCCGCGCCACCGCCATGGACTGAGCAAGCTGTGCAGCATATGCCTGATTCGAGGATCCTCCAGCAGCGACAGGTCGTGTCCTAGGAGAAGAACGCCTGCGATTTTGGAGAGACGGACAATCAAGGACTAAGTGTCCTGGTTTCTTGCAGTAAACACAAATGTTCCGCTGACGGCAATGCTTCTGTAAGTGCCCTTTCATGTGACAATGGTGGCACTCTAGTTCAGACACAGGCACGCGGTTCTGGAATTGAGGCCGAGAAGCGGCAAAAACTGGCGCCGCCGACGAACCTTGTTGGGCAATAGCCGACGACCCAGCTATAGCAGCGAAAACAGTGTCTCCATCACCAGGACGAGCCGCTAGCTTGGATTGAGCACGAAGCCTCGTCTCCTCCTGCAACAATTTTGCCAGCACCCCATCCATAACAATCTCATCCTGATTAATGAGAGAGGAACGAACAGATTCGTATTCGGGATGCAACCGCATCAAAAAGTGAAGGATGCGTTGCTGCTTACGTTCCTCCATGACCTCACCCGATGCTTCCTTGGAGCGCAACGCCGCCGTAAGCAAATCTTGCTCAGTCCACAGCTCCTGAGCATCATTATAATAGGTGGAAATATCTCGATCGGCCTGTTCTAAATGATCAAGCGCCGCTTGGACCTCGAACTGCCGAGCCACATTGTGAGATGAATACGTGGTCTCGAGATGCTTCCACATTGACCGCACATCCGTCATCAGCCGGAGCCCAAGTACAATAGTCGGATCAACCGACCCCAATATCAGGGACCTAACCTTGGCATCGCTTTGATTCCACTTGGCGATGTCCTCTGCCGTAGCCGTAGCATCAGGTTGCTCCGATGAACCATCAATCCAGCCAAGAAGGCCTTTGCCTTCAACATAGACCCGGAACTGGAACTCCCATAGAGCGTTATTCTTGGAGTTCAAGCGAGCACCAAGACGATCAGAATCGCCAGACGAAAGCTCTGATACCATGTTAACAAATCAGGCTTAACCAAAATAACGATGAACGAAAAGAAATCAACACACGATATACGTGGTATCCCCGAGATCCGGGACTAGTCCATGGGAGAGTATGGCACTCTCCGAGCTCAGTTCTTATTCACTCAAATCGATGAGACGGCTACAACTTACAAAGAGCATATAAATACCCATGCAACCCTAGCTCCCATGCACACCCTACACGTCCAAAGCAACACAACCCTAGCAGCCATAAAGGTCCAATGACAAGCCCAAACCAAACTATATACATATGTACACAAGGCCCAAACTCAATCCGCTAACACTAGCTCCGGTCATCCTCCAATGGATCGGAGTGGGAAGACAAGAAATCCTCTTTCTCAAATATAACCAAATTCAAGTAAACGCATTAATTTTGAGTAAGATATAAGTTAAGTATATATTAGTTTGAGATATTATAGATGAATTTGTGCAGAATATGAGTATTGCTTCCATATTCTAAATGAGTCTGAGTTGGGGTATGAATGCTCATTTATCCAAGATTGTTTTAACTACAAGTCCAAAATTGTACCTGTTTGCAAAACTTAAAAAATTTAGGTATAAAAATGTAAGACACAAAAATTTCAGCAACTAAAATATATTTTTCATTGATAATTTTAGGACTTATATCCGGAAAAAAATTAGGTAATAAATCTAAATGTATATTAAGTTTAGGTATCAAACTGTATATGGTATGGGTACAAACTCAAATTCATTGATTAAAAATTTAACGGATCCAAATTAATGAGTATGGTATAAGCTAATCAAACTCTATCCATTTATCTTGTATTTGAGTTTCTTACGAAACTCAATTGAATTGTATATGAAAATATCCATGAATTTGCGCAAAATTGTCATCTTACTATTTATCTCTTTATTTTCTTCTCCTAACAAGCATATTGTTCAACTTGGTTGAATTAATCCACAACCTATACCATTGAATACTGCTACATGATTGTGGCTTCTTTATTTTCCGAGATGTTAGTCCTAGCTTTCTAGAGGACTTAAAAGAGTATGGTTGCCTGAAGTTTGAAAGCATGAGTCCTATTTGCAGTAAAAGCCCTAAGCTATAAACTTTGGTTGTTATATTAAGGATAATTAAGAACTTTTCGCATGGTTGTTTCCCATGTGGTTCCTGGTCTGCTTCATGAGAGTTTAGTGCGACTTCTTGTCCGTTTCAAGATATTTGTGGCTAGCTTTATGAATTTTCTTGTATATTTTAAGAAATTGTCGTCAGCTTTGTAGTGTGCTTTCTAAACATTTTGTTTTACTTTATAAAAATTCTGATGATATTTTATGAATTTTGTGGCGTAGTTTCTTGTATTTTTTGTATGATTTTTTTGATCGACTTCATGATACTTATTGTCAAGTTTTATGAGTTTTCTTGTATGGTTCATGAAATTTTGGTTGGATTTGAGGTTTCTAATATGGTTTATGAGTTTCGTGGTGTGATGAGCTTATGGTCGGCTTTGTGAGCTTTCTAGTCTACTTTATATTTTTTCTGGGGTGGTCTATTCTGTTTCACTTTCTGGTTTGAGTTTTATGATCTTCACGAAACTTGTGGATACTAATACAAAGGTTTTATAACGTGGTTTTGTCAATATGACACTAGTCCACCCTGATGATCTCCCTCACAGGTTTTTGTAATTATATTGATTAATTGCTCTTCTACAGTTTACATGAGCAATATATAGGTTTGTAAACCTAGCTCTAGCCGAAATGCCTTAAAGACTATTTACATATTGGTACTATAATTTTATATAATTAACACCCTCCCTCAAATTGATGTCGAGTAATTAACATCAATTTTCAAGATAAGTACCAATGTCGACTGGATGCCATTGCCATTGTTAACAAGTCGGCGGTTTGATCTTCTGTAGATAGATAACTCGACTGTATCTTGCCTTCTGCCACTAGCTGTCGAATATATTGAACATGAACCTCTATGTGTTTAGTCCGATCATGAAGCACATGATTGTTTGCTATCAGAATAGCACAGGTGTTGTCTCCATAGCTCCTCATTGGCATCTTACACCCAACACCTAACCCGTCCAATAAGCGTTGAAGCCACACCATCTCGGAGCTCAGATCGGACATAGAACGATACTCTGCTTCTGTTGAAGACTTTGGCACCTTATCCTATTTTATGTATCTCCATGAAATGAAAGTATGGTCAAGACGAACACACCATCCAGACGTTGAGTGCCTAGTGTCAAGGCACCCTGCATAGTCCACATCAGCAAACCCCTCCAACTCTGTGCAGTTGTCGGCGGGGAACAACATACCCACATCTTAAGTACCTTGCATATACCGCAGCAAACAATGGATTGCGTCTAAATGAGCAGTTGTGCAGTTCCCGTAAACTGAATGGCGTTCTAAACAACATAGGCAATATCCGGTCTCGTGTGAGTTAAATAAATCAAGTTCCCAACGATGTTTCTGTAAAAGGTATGATCCTCCAGAATTTCACCACTGTCTGTACTCAGCTTGTGGTTTTGCTCCATTGGAGTAAAACAAGGTTGACAGTCACTATACTGTGCAGTCTCCAAGAGATCTATAATGTACTTCCTTTGACTTACAAACATACATTTGTCAGACCGGGTGACCTCCAATCCCAGAAAGTATGACACATCTCCCAACTCCTTCTAATTAAAAGTCGAGTGTACTGACTGCGTGAGCTCTTTGATTCCCTCCACATCTTTACCTGTTACTATCACATCATCCACATAACGCAGGAAAACAACTATACCATAGACGGTATGACGGAGGAACATAGAGGGATCACTCGTACTCTAGGTGAAACCAGTCTGCAGAATGGTTCTGTGAAACTTATCAAACCAAGCTCGCGGTGCCTGCTTCATACATATAACAACTTCCGCAGCTTGCAGATCATATCCTTCCCCCCTTTGTCATAACCTGTAGGGTATTCCATATAAATGGTCTCCTTCAAATCGCCATGAAGAAAAACTTCTTCGCATCCAACTGAATTATGGACCAATTTTTCAATGCAGTAAAAACAAATATACTACGAACAGTCTGCATGCGAACCATAGGAGAAAGCGTCTCATCGTAGTCAATGCCAAACTCCTAATGAAAATCCTATGCCACAAGGCGAGCCTTATGGCGCTCAATAGAACCATTAGGAAACATTTTAATCTTATACACCCAGCGATTTCCCAAAACATGAATACCAGGAATACGAGAAACTATGTCCCAAGTGGAGTTCACCTCCAAAGCTTGAGTCTCGGAAGCCCTGGCAGCGTCCTATTTCGGGTTCCCCACGACAAATCTGTAGTGACTAGGAACAAGAATAGGTTTCTCCGAGAACCCCATGTTGTCCTGCATACAAAGACGAGGTTGGCCCAAAGTGCTACGATTCGAGCGACGTAGAGGTTGCGAGGATGCAGAAACGGCTTCGACGAATCAGGAGGATTGGATGAGCTCGGGGAAGAAGATGAGCTATCACACGACGAGGAAGAGGACCCAGGCAAAAGAGTAGTTTCAGATGATGCCGGAGTCGCTGGCGGAGAAGGAAGATCAAAATCGACAGGGTCGACATGCAAAATAGGATCATCCAGCTCGGAATAAAAATAGGGAGAGTGGACGGAGAAAATTCAACGTAGGAGTATGCTCTTCAGGTCTTATAGAATAATACATAACCTGCTCCAGAAAAATGACATGGCAAGAAATACGCATATGATGCTCACGAGGATCATAACATTGATACCCTTTGTGACGATCACTGTAACCCAGAAACACACACCTGTCCATTTTTTATCGGAGCTTATGACGATCCTTCTTCGGAAGCAGGACGAAGCAGACACAACCAAATACACACAACCATGAGACAAAATAAGTGAGACTTGCCATCAAGAGTGGAAGTGATCTAGCGATTGATCACATACACAACAACTGAAATCGCCTCGAGTTAGAAACCCGCGGAACCTGCAACTCCAAAAGAAGTGCTCGAGTTAACTCCAACACATGCTGATGCTTCCGTTCAACCAATCCATTCTGCCGAGATACCCCAGGATAAGACTGTTGCGAGATAATACCATGAGAACGATAAAATTCAAGTAACGAGAGAGAACTAAACTCCCCCTAGATTCGACCGGATGATTTTAATGGTCTTCCAAACTGCATGGGAACGAACTGAACAAAGGCTGTTGCATGATTAATCAACTCGAACTTCTTCGCAAGATGAAAATCCATTCATAACGAGTGACATGATTAATAAATAAAGCAAAGTATCTGTACCCCATGGGAGAAGTAACCGGCGACGGACCGTATGAATTAAATCAAAAGGCGATGAATAAATCGAGTCACTGGGTGAGAATGACGACTGTGAGGCCTTAGCCTGAATGCAGTTAACACATGGAGGAGGAAAACCAAATTCAGAATTCTAAGCATTAGGCAAAAGATTCCGACAAAACATACTGAGCAACCGAGCGTTATGGGGATGGCTCAAACGCCAATGTCATAAATCCCAAACTGAAGTACGTACACTAAAATCCAAAGAATACAAAGGTCTAACTGAAAAAGCCAATAAATTAGGAGAAGTAAAAGACACATCTTAAATGTGTTCCTTATTGAACAAAAAATAATCCAAAACTTGGCCATCATCCTCGAGAAAACCACCTTCAGTCGAAGCAACTATCATCATCGCACATCGAGTGTACAGAACCCGCCAAGGAGCATAACGGAAACTGCGACTGTCCCTGTGAACGACCATACTCCTCGAGAATGAAAACACGACCAACCTTCTTAGCCTTGCCCAGTACCATCCCCGTGATCTAGTCTTGCACAACATAAACCCGATTATCTAATTTAACTGCACACCCTTCTTCAATCACCCGACTAACCGAAACTAACTGGGGAACCAACTACGTAACAAATAGCGTGTCAGGTAAAGTGACGGCGCCTGTAGCAGTTGTTCCCACACCACAAGTGGGAAGCTTTGGCCCATTAGCCATTTGTAAGGTAAAAGATACACTAGTATGTAATGATGAAAATTGAGAACGATCATTAGTCATATGGTTATAGGACGCAGAATCAAGAAGCAAACGAGAGGGAATACTTGTTCCACCACCTGTAGCAAAGGCAGAAGTGAGAGCACTAGGAAGAGCATCCTGCAAAGCCTTAGCAACCAAGCGGCGAACATCGGCAGAAGTAAGACCCGGAGAGACGGGATTCACAACTAAGCCAGCGGCAACAGGAGGAGTAGGAGCCACAACATAAGCAGCGACCTGAGTGCCCGCCGGACGAGAGCCACGAGGTCGTAAGTAGTGGCCCCTCTGTTATGATGAGTTGCAGCCTTACACTCAAGGACTATATGGTCGGACTGCTTGCGGTAAATACATAAACCTT